CTCCTCCTGCGGCCTTTGTCTTGGTTTGTCCTTCGCTTTGCATTTTATTCAGCGTTCCATGGGCAACGATTAGCCTCGCTTTTTGGCATTCGCATTGAGCTTAGACCCACATGGACATTCAGTCAGTCAGGTATACTACAGGTAGCCCCGCTCCTACACTCACAAAAACCCATTCCTATGTTTCCTAGGACACTTACTCTTTTATGTATATTTAATTATCCAAATATAATGATTAGGTTGCTTTTGTTCGTATGACTTTTTCACTTTCTTTTCATTTATTGCGTTTTATATTTTAAAGCCCAGAAAAATAGTTTTTTTCTGAGTGCAGCGAACGAGCAGAGAAAAGGAAAGGGTCTGTGCGACTGGGATCCCTTTTCTGTTCTGCTGCTCCTGCTCCTTTCAATGTCAATGTCTGCCACAGCATTTGCTACCATTCTTCAATATAATGACATCACAAAGCCTTGAGAACCGGCGAGGGGTTTCCTTCGGCTGGCCACGATTTTAATCACATTTCTTTTGAATTAGATGCGAGCTTAGCCTCAACTGTGGTGCGCCTTTTCATGAGTCAATCACTCGGCCCGTTCCTCCTCATCTGGTGACTTCTTCGCTTTTGCATACCCCCAAAGAGTTTCCGAGAAGAGTCGGGCTGCAGTTGCAGCTTCCTCCCGAAAACGTACGTTTACTTCGATTCAATTTGACCACTCGCGACTCCTTTGTGGCCTTTCGCTTTTCTCGGGAGCAGAGAACGAGAGGAGAACTGTCAGCGCAGGTGAATTTATGTGCGCGGACCCAGCTGGACACTAAATCATCGGCTCTGGACTCGCGGATGCGAATCTCGCCCTGCTCGCTGATTGTCCTCCCTGGATTCCCGGCTATAGCTACGGTGCTACGGTGGGACCTGGATATGCTCTATAACCCGGCCCGATTTCGGGCTTTCAGCTTGCGAAACAGCGCGAGTGAGCCGAGTAAGCAAGCTATGCTGTGGGGTTAACGTCATTATTTCGCCTTCTAATCAAAATCAGCAACATTGTTGCGCAGCTCATGCAGGAAATGTCTGTGCACGGTTAGAAAAATGGTGGTTAAACTATTTTCAGAGATATGAAATGTTATTCCTAATAGTTGGTGTTGGTATTTTCCCATACATTTTGATGTTCACTCTGGCATTTTTAATCATTTCCCATTGGACTTATTTTCACAGCTTGAAATTCGTATGTTCTGAGCTGTAAACCTTCACTAACCACCAAATTTTCCGTAACCGCTTTTGTACTTGCCGATTTTCATAGTTTCTGTGATCACAACATCTGAGTTTCAGTGCTCAAGTTTGCAGGGAATCCAGGGGCCAAAAAGAGCCTTGTTGGGCGGGTTTTACACAAATTTCGTATTTTTTCGCAGATGGCGGCGCCTTTGCCCGCTTAAATGTCAGAAATCGTCGGCCTCTCACGCTTTTCTCGGGTGATAAGCTGCGATCACCTCGAACCCACTTATTGCCATTTAATGGGGGGCTCGGGGGGAAGTACCCGAATTTTTTTGGGGAAAACTGGCTAACCCGGAGCGTGAACTGCTCAATTTCGCTTGCCAATTTGTGTCATATTGTGAGGCATGATGAAGACATTAGCGAAGGCGGGGGCTAATGCCACCTCAACCCCAACCCATCAGGCCCCCTTTCTTTGTATGTAGTATATATATATATATATCTATGTTTTTTTCTCCCCGCACTTCATTAGCGAGCAATTTAATTTGCACACACACTCAGCTCGCCAACTTTGAATACGAGTTGGTTGCAGGAAGTGGTTGCCTGGTACTCGTACTCCCCCTTATTTGCACTCCCCCTTTCGGGCCCCTCGGGCCGCCCGGTATCTGCAAGATATATCTGCGAGGATGCCACAGCTGGAGTTGTCTTCTTCGTCCGCGGCTATTTAGGCATGAGCATGGTCAACAATTGTACAGGTTTTCCGCCTTGTAACCCCGCGGTAAGCCACCTTCAAGCCGTCCGACTCTGGGTTTGTTTGTCTGTTTGCTTTTGGTTATATTTACTAATTGAATCGACACCAAAAATGTAAATGCAACAACAAACAACGCGCAAAACTGACTATGCCGCAGGACGGGGAGTCGGGGGAGGGAAGGGGCTTAGGAATTGGAAGACCAGTTCCACCTCGGGGCCAAAAGGCAGATGCGGCAGTTGCAGTTGCAGTTGCAACTGCATCGCCAGAGCCTCGCAGCCTCGCCACAGCCAAAAGTAAACAATGAGAAAATTTATGTTAGTCAAGTGCGTTTTTCAGCGGAAAATGAGAAAAAATACTCGCCAGGGTCGGTCGTATATAAAACTACCACGCGTAACGAGGTTTCACCCTCCCGAGTGCGGGGTACAGTGAAGCAAACTTGGGGGAAATACTAAAGGTAAGGGTTTGGGTTAAACATAATGACCAAATAGAAACTGCTTTGCTGCATCATATCTCATTCTGTCTTTTCTCTGGATGGTGGAATGCTAGCTCCGATTTCTGGCAGTGTACCGCAGACAGATGTCGCGATTGCGGAGGAACACTGTGAAGAGCAGAAACCGCATCCACTGGAGATAATGCCGGGCGCTGGCGGATCGCTCCGATTGGATCGGGTGCGAGCGGACGGCGAATCTTCTAACTGTTCTTCAAGTCCGACTCTTGGCCTTGGGGGGGAATATTGGGGCCGAGGCACGCAAAACAGGCATCAATCATGCGGCAACTCACCGCTGACATGGCGAGCGGATGGCGGAGCGGAGCGGGGGGCGGCGGCAATTCGAACGAGGCGACACCTTTGGAGCGGGAAACTGGTCGCTTGTCATAGGCAAATCATATCTTTCGCCCGCAGAACTCTGCAAACGAGAGACGAGTGGAGAGTCTAGAGTCTCGGTTTGGTATAACAGTTCCCCGTGGCCAGATAAGGTTCGCCTGCCTAATGAGGCGGCGGCTAATTTTGAGCCACTCTTCTCCGAGAATTCTCCGGTGGGAAGCTTTGATTCTGATTCCGCTGCCCACAGATCTCAAAACAGGAAGACGCAGCCCCGCCGCCAGTCACGCGAAATGCAAATGCAGGTTGACAGTGGCAGCTCGAGAGGAATTCCGAGCCTGGAAAGGCGTGTAAAATAGCCCCCTCCCCCTGGCGAGGGGCTCCCCCGGCTCCACCCTTTCGCTCCACGAGTTGAAGCCCCAAAAAGGGTAAAATGCCAGAGTACGGAAAATCTGCTAGAACTTGCCTTTTTTGGTCTTGAGTCGAACATTTAGCGTTTGGTTTCTTTGTCTTGTACTTTTTCCACAATGCAAAATATCACCGCGGAACTTCCTCGTCGAGTTGGTAATTACAAACATGGCCGAGTCGCCAGTGAAAATACCCAATGGAGGGGCAAGGAACAAAATGCTCTGCGATTTGAGTATAGGAACTTCTTAAGCTACCAGTTCATAAAAAATCCAGAGATAAAAAATACTTTTATGAACAGCTTCACTCTTCCTGTGATAATTGTAAATCTGTACTCAAAACTGAATAAAGATAAAGGCGTTTTCCTGAGCTAAAAAGTAGTTCTGATACTCGGGATCGAGGCCACTGTTCTCTTAAAAGAATGGTAGCTGATTCTTAGGAATAAAGCTTCTTAGCCACACTTGCGTTTCTCGCAGTGCTGCCGTGCTGAATGAATGACCGATTGACTGACTGACAGCATTTCGGAGCTCGGGAGGGCACTCAGTCACGTCATCATCATCATGGCATCCGTGGCATAGCCCTTGGCCATCGGCCAACCCAAGTCGAAGTCCGAGGCAGGGGCGGTGCAAGAAGCCACGACGATGGCGTCCCGAGCGAGCCACCACAGGCGGTTCAATCAGCAGCCCACCGGCAGCAGCAGTGAGGAAAGTGGCTCGGTATTGTCTTTCCTGCACGAGAATGTAAAACAGCAGCAAAAAGAGCTGGAATGGCAGCAAAAAGTGACGAGGGAAGAAGACGGGAAGACAGGAGAGCCGAGAGCCCAGAGCCCAGAAAATGGCTTCCAATTTCACAAGCTCGGACTCTGTTTTTGGGTCGGCTCCTAAGATCATCATCATTGGCCCTCAGCTCTCACCTCATAAACTCATAAACTCGGAATTGGGACGAGCTTGGCCAGAAGGGCGTGGCCTTGTCTTCTGGAAAGGGAGAACCATTCTCAGCTACGAATTGGCGAGCGAACTCGAAAGCCGAATCGAAAGTGAGACAGCCAGCAACTCAATTTACAGTTCTCCATTAAAATTGTTTTTACTCGTTGTATCCGTACCCTTTCAAGCCAAAGGTGGTCTCCCCCATTCTCTAAGCTAATTTATGTGAAAGTGGAAAATATTTGAAGACTGCCCAGTGACAAATGCCGTATGCTGATCGAGCGCATAAAATGCTTTTCGAAATTAATTAATGCCCGAAATTAACTGCTTGAGATTCGGATGCCGATGCCGAAACCCAAGAGCTACTGCCACGGCAGCGAGATCACTTTTACCAGTAAGTTTTGGTTTTATGGCTCCGATTCGAGATGGAAACGTGAGGCAGTTATTAACATGAGTCGTGAGTGGGTTAAACTGAGACTGATGAGTGTTTAACCAGGTCTTAACCGAGTTTATGACTCATCAGGATCACATTAAATAGTTTGGAAATATAATTGCGAGGCGAGCGGAATCCGAGGCAACTGAACGCCGCTACTAAATGAACACTGAGAGAACCCGGACTTGTTTCGGAGCAAGTTGGCCTCTATGGTGGCGGATTATTAGCCCATTATTGCATTCTAAGTTTTATATTGCTTTGCAATTAGGTAAAAATATTTGTGGCCACGATCGTCAACCGGTAATGTTTGTGCCTCACGCTACTCACGACGAGTCCCCCAAAATGCAGTCATAATCTCAGCGGCTCCTCCCCCGTTTCCAGTGATGGATTTCGGATGGGCCGCCGCTTAGAAAGCGACACCGCTGACGGTAACAGCACTTCATCAGACGACGCGCCCACACAGGCGGTGGCCGCCCACGTTCCCACTATGCGCCCAAATCCGAATCGAGTCCGTAACCGTAGCCCGTAACCCGTGGGTAACCCACTTCCCCCGGAGCTCCCGAAGTGAGCAATTACCGACAACTCATTTCACTAAACGACAAATGGTTCACCCACCACCGCGCACTCTCCTCCGCCCGGGGAGCTGTCAAAATCGCTGACAGCAGAAGTTTGCCAGAAAGCATTTCTCCGCAAGGCCCCCTGCCCCGTTGGCCCCTTTGGCCCGTAAAAAGGCCCATTAAAGCGAGATCTCCGTGATTTACTTAACCGAAAAAGAGAATGAAACAGAGGCCCCGGGAAAACAACGAACGAAGACAAAGAGACATAAACGTCCACCCACTTGTTGCTGTTAAAGTGTCGGTTACAATGGCCGCGGCCCATTGCAGTGGTAAATGGTAGCAGTGGCAGTTGCCAGTACCTTCTGGTAGTAACTGCTGGGAACCTGCTCCCCCAATCCCCAACTCCCAGCTCTCCAACTCCCCAGCTCTCCAACTCCCCCGCTCCCCCGGTAAACGGGCTGTAAATATTTGGCATTTCGAATGGGAGTGTGGAATAGAGTCGTTGCTGGGTGAGGATCACGTGTGGTTTCCCCATCTCGGAGATGTTACGGCTTCGGCAGCTCAAATTACAGTTTGCACACCTCTAGGGAACAAAGTCACGGTGACTGGGAGACGGCCACTGCGACTGTGACTGGGGAAGTGGCGGCCGACGACCAACTGGCCCTGCAATTGCACTCGGCACTTGGAGAAATAATAACCGGAAGGAGGTAATAGCCTACTCTTAAAAAATATGTACCATTTACGTAAGCTGAGATCTTCAAGAAGTATTCAGTTATGGTAGAAGTATTTTAAGCTTTGTTCCATTTGGATTTTTAGCACCTCAGATTCGATTAACTTTTTCCCTCAGTGCTTCAGGTGTGCTGCTAACTGGCACTTGGACGGAAAGATCCACCATATAAACACCCCTCGTCCCCTCCGATCTTCTTTTACTTCTTGCCTTTGAAACAGCGGATCTCCCCAGATTTCGATGTCTAACGGTGCTCGTGGTTGTTCTCCTCCGCCTTCCCAGCGTGACAGGCGACACTTTTATGTGTCACTGGGTTAGTTACGATCTCCGGGGTCCCCGAGAGAAGAAGGAGACCTCCCCGGGGCACCATTACTATTTTCGGGCAATTAAAGCCTGGCTTTCAACTATAGCGTTCTCCTCACCGAAGACCATCTGCCCCTCGGAATACCTTTTCTAATTACTCGCTCATAGTTCGGGTGCATTCTTCATCCACTCATTACACGCATATTAAAATTTATTGCAAAATTTCTATAGTCATTTCTCATAGAAGACGAGTAGCCGCCGTCCTCGCAGTAGGAGCTGCAAGGCGACCCGTCTCCTGATGAGGAGCAGCCAGTCCCCCGCCCGTCCTCCGATCCGATCCTCCGGCATTTTTCCACTGCCCATTGCTTGTGCAGTAATTAAAGCGATTCAATTTTCTGATTAGTTCGCCGTGGCCATGAACGCACTCCTCTGGGTTGCCAGGCGAGTTTTCAGGGAGTTGCCTAGAGCTGGAGATGGAGACGGAGACCAGGGAACCAGGGGAGCGCACTTTAACTGGCCACTGGACTCGCGGACTGGACCATAAAATGCAAAGAGGCAGCAGCACTTGCTGTGAGAAAATGTTGCAGCCAGCCGGCCAAGTGGTTCGGTTTTCCGTGTGGAAATTCAATTGATTTTCATGCTGAATGCACAGCTTAATGTGTACTTTAGTTGCGCTTAATTTCCATGTTAAGTGATTTCCCGAAGTTTTCTCCATTTAACTTTTATTGTTCTCCTGTGAATATATTATTTGTATGAACATTTTGTACCTGGCACTTGGGCCAGGAATTTTTTAATCTACTGCAAATTTATCACAAAACCATTAAAAGTTTAGTTTTATGAAAATAAATCTGATTTCCGACATAATGGTTGGGTATAAATACCTATCAGCAGTGTGTGGGAAAATAAGCTTTTCAAATAGCCAGTATTTCCATGAAAAGTCTCCCTTTGATCAGATTTCCTCTGAAATTCTTGCTTTCATGGCGTTTGACTGAATGACATTTTTGTGCGCTCGCCTCGTTGCATTTCAATTCACCGAAATCGCAAAATTGCTCCGATCGAGTCACCTAAAGCGGCTCCACAATTGCGTAACCCCGTCCAGAGCGGTCGACTCTTGGCTTTGCCTTTTCCGACTTCATTCAGGCTCCGTCCAAAAGCAACTCATTCATTAAAAAAACTGTGAAAAACTCAATCAATAGCAGAGATGCCGATGCGTTGCTAAATTGCCATTGCCATTTTCCCGTCCGAAAAATTGAAATGCCGATAGCTCAAATTTCCAGCGACACTTTTGGCCGCCTGAAAAGTGGATCTTGCCTCTTGGTTCATTTCCAAATTTGAGTTCGAGGCAAGCAATAAATTACGCACACTTAGCCATGGCTCGGTTTTGGAATTGGTTTCGGTTTCGGTATCGGTTTGTTTTTCTATCCCAGCAGACTAATGAGCACTTTGGCATTTGGCCTGGCCTATCGGGGTCTTTAATAAGCGCTTGACTTGGCCCACGTCCCTCCCATCGAGGAGAATTTATTCAGCAGCTTTTTGGGGCGTCCCGAAAAATGGAAAAATCCACCAATCCACCGATCCACCGATCGACAGCAGCAACGGCCCAGACAACTTTTAATAATTAATTGAAAATAATAAATTTATGACAGATTTTCGACTGGCGTTTGGCAGTCCCCCTTTTTTCCGCATGTGAGTTGGTTACTAATAATGGCTAACGGACTTTGTGGATTAACAACGAAATAGGCGAACACATTTTTAATTAAAGCATTTGTTCGATTCGGCGGGACAACCTGCTGTTTTCCACTCGATCCTGTCGGGCCTCCCATTCTAAATATCTAGTGGGAGTTCCGAATGGGGAAGAGTGGCCGCAATTTATGTGGGGGTTGTTCAACGGTTTTCCGTGCATAGATCACAGAAACGGCGAACATCCAGCAGAAATGCGGTATCTGTGCTGAGAGATCGTGGCTTGAAGTTAGCTTCATTCTGATATAAAAGCTTGCATCTAGCACGCAGTCAAACGCAATTAGCCCTTAGGCACACACTCACTCACTTTCTTTTAATATGAATAATTTCGGAGTGAAACTGGGACTTTTATTCGCTCATTTGAATACCGCTTTCCGACTCGGGCTTCTTTGTGAGTCGAGTCGTAATTTAGGTTTGATTTCGGTTTATTAATCAATAGATGAGAAACCCTAAGTCGGAATGTCCAAATGTTTCTGTTGGCATTTAGGGCCAATTAATATTCTCTCTTTCTCTCCGTCGATCTCACTGGGCTTTATCTCAACGCAATTAATAGCAGATTATGCAAATTACTTTGAGATAAATGATAATATGTTGCGTACACGTTGCCGTTTGTTTTACATTGGTGCTCACTGATCCCAGAGTTTATTGGTCAACATTTTGATTTAACATTCATTCTCTGTGTGCTGCTCTTGAGGAACAAGGCAACTTATCTGCCTCTCTGAATCTAGTGCAAAATTGAAAATTGTCTTGGGCCGCATTAGTCGATTAGGCGCGTAAATCGATAAGCGAAAAGCAATTTCCGATTGGGCTGAGTTATGTGCCCCACGATACGTATATAGTATGTGAGTTGGTTGCGGGGGGTGGAGTGCAATTTGCAAGACCAAGGTGCTAGATGACCATCATCGGCCAACTGGAAGTGGAAGTGCACCTTGGCGGGGAAAGGCAGGAGCAGCAGCTGCTGTCGAAAACCGAGGCAGGGCGAATATTATAGAATTAATTAAAGATGGTAAAGATAATTGATTAGGCACAGGCGATTAATTCATGCCTCGTTTGCCGCTCGATCAGATAGTAACGAGTGAAATGCGGCGGACTCAAGAATGCGAACGAGTCTCTTCAAATCCATTCTCCAAGGAGAGCGAATTCATTACTAGTAATATGGACTGATTAAAGCTGTTATATTACAGTAATTACAGAACTACTACTCCTATAGTTCGACGAGCAATAGGTTCGTTAGTTCACCTGCCAAACTTCGAATTCCTTGCTCGGCGGCCATCTTGTCTTGCAACTGTTTAACTATGCAGCTTCCTGTCCATTTCCCCTCCCCTCCGACTTCTTTCCGACTGGCTCATAAAATTTTGCAAATTATTTGCTGCCTTTTTGTTCTGTTTTTAGCAATCGGCAAACTCCACTGGGCGAAAGGGGGACACAGCGCTCCGAAAGTTATGAGACGCTTTGAGCAACTTGTGTGGCTCCCGGGGAAAAGACTGGGGGCCGGGGGAAATGCATTTCCATCGGCAGTGTTGTTATCTTTTTACTGCAAATTATTAGTTTTTTTTACCGCTGACGACAAAAAATGGACAGCGGCCGCCAAGAAGATAAAGAGCCGGGGGAATCGGGCCGCAGGAGCAGCCAACAAAAGAAATAAAGAGCCAAAGACGATAATTAAAACTCTAATTGTATGCGCTACCGCCGACGACTGGCCAGAGTCGTAAACTTGGCAAAAAGAAGATCCCGAGGACCCCGAGGAATCCGAGAGCGGGACCTTGCACCATGTTGCACGCTGTGAGCGGACAAACATTGTCAGCCTGTCAGGTGGCCAGATCCCAAAGATGCCGGGGCTACAAAGTAGTCAGCCCGCTCCGAGCTCGGCTTTAACCTTAATTTCAAGAAGTGCCTCAGAGAGCGCAAGCTGGCAGCCGAAAAATGAGTCAGTTAACATGGGCTTGCTTAATAGATATTTTAAGCAGTTTCTTTTTATACCTGTGAGTACTCCCAACAGACCAATTTCGAAGTTTATGCATTTTATTTACGACAAGCTGGCATCAAAAGAAACCGCAATCGACTGATTTTTAAGTAGTGAGATTGTGCCTTGTAAAAATATATTTTTATTCTGCAAACCTCCAATATATTGAAACCTATAAAATCGATGAGGCATCTTTTAATTTGAGTACTGCAAATAATAAAGTATGCATGTTTTACGATGGGAATAAAACATCCTTCGAAATGCATTTGGGCGATGGATTAGTGCTAATGGAAAACATATTCCGAAGCGGTAGTCAGTCTTGGGCCAGAATAGAAATGTCTATTTTTACCTAATCGATGTTGCTGTGGTTCGATTAGCCAAACCGCAGAATGCGTTCTGTCTGGGTCTGTCGACACCCAAGAAGAGGTTGAGGGGGCTTAAGCCGCTTTGATCTTCTGCAGCCGAGCGCAAAATCAATTCGTCTATTCCCTTCTAAGGGCACTGTTGACGCTAGTATTAATTTAAATATAACGAAGTTTTTAGAATAAGATATCAAAAGTGTCACCCCCCTTAATTTTTATTTTTAAAACTATCGATATAAGGTTGCCACTCTTACTGACTATATGATTATATGTATACCTATTCGAGAAGTCACATGAAGAACATCGACAAGAACAGACGCCAAAAGTTTTCTCTTTAATTTTGTTTAAATAAATTCATTTCAATCGCTAAAGAGTGTGTTAAATTACTAGACGAGTGGAGTGACATATATTGCGGTGGCTTATTGACCATAAGTCGGTCTTTCGAGCCCCATAACCCTACTTGGTGTAACCCTTAAACAGGTAACTGCCCCAACAAATGGTCTTTCGAGCCCCATAACCCTACTTGGTGTAACCCTTAAACAGGTAACTGCCCCAACAAATGGTCCTTCTTTGCCTCTTGGACGGCACATGGATTACATAAATCTAATGCCAAATTAACTGGAAAAAAATTGCACTACATGTGTATGTATTGCCAAGCGTAATTTTGGACATACACATGCAAAGCTTCACACATATATTTTGACGACGACTAGCTTGTGTGTGTGAATAGTGCAATTACAATCATAAATGATGCCGACGACACGCTCAAACAAACAAAATCAACCCAATACCAATCTGCCAGAGGGTATAGTAGACACGCCACGACCATGCAGTTCTGCAAAAAACCAACTGGACATGTCTAAGGTTACGGTTGTGCCACGCGCAACATCAACCCAGAATGTTCCACGTTCCACGGATTCACGTTCTAGCTACAGCCACCACTCTCAACGATCAGTCAAGGCTCAACGACTACAGCTTCAAATGGATCACCTTAAAAAACAACAACGACTACAAGTTCAACGGATGCAGCTAGAATATGAGGAAAAGCAGTTAGAACTGGAGCTAAAAATACAAATGACGGAAATCGAAGACGAACAGGATGACATCGAAAACGACCAGGATGACCTCGAAGACGACCAGGATGACAACCAAGACTACCGGAATGACAACGAAGACGACTACAATAACGGCAACAACAGCGATCGACAAGCTGCAACCAGGACACGTGAGTGGGTTAAGTCTTCTCAACAAAAGCAACCGGAAAAAGGTCAGACATACACTGATGATTTCAACTCGAACGCGATTACTAGTTTCATGGCTAGGCAAACAATTAAACAGGAGCTTCCTACATTTAGTGGTGACCCTTTAGAATGGCCAATTTTTATTGCCGAATATGAAAATAGCTCTCGAATTTTTAATTTTAGTGACTATGAAAATATTAATCGCCTACGAAGAGCACTGACAGGACGTGCCAAAGAATGTGTACAGTCACTTCTTTTAGTACCACACAATGTACATGATATAATTGGTATATTAAGAAACCGATTCGGAGATTGTAATCACATCGTAAAGGTGATGATAGATAAAATTCGAAACTTTCCTGTAATCAAAGAGGACAAATATGACAAGCTTATCACATTTTTTGATATGATTACAAATCTCATACAAACATTATTGTCTTTCAATGATATCGATCAAATTCGTAATAATTTGCTATTTGAGGAAATCCTTGAAAAGGTTCAGGTGTCTCAGCGAGTTGCTTTTATAAAACATTATCAAAAAATCAAGTCTGATGAACCAAAAATTATTGTGTTCCACGAATGGTTAGGTCAAACTATAACAGCAGCAACAGCTCTCGGATTCGGTCAAAACAGATCTAAAGACACCACATTAATAGTCTCAAATCCAGTCAAAGTGGTTGAAAAAACGAAATGTTATTGCAACTATTGTAAGTCTACTGATCATTTCATAACAGATTGTCCAAAGTTTAAAACCTTGACTGTCGACAAGCGTTGGGAACACACTTCTCATAACAAATTGTGTATTTCTTGTCTAGGTAGAAATCATGTTCTGAAAGACTGCAAACGCAAAAAGACTTGTAAAGCAGCAAACTGCAATTTCAATCACAATTTTTTATTGCATAAAGACAAGATCAACAAATCCAACACTTCTCTTGAAATACCTAAAAATCCTGACCAAGACAAACCAAAACCTGACCAAGACAAACCAAACCCTGACACGAACTACAACATTAATTTTGGAGGTAACAAAGTACTACTAAAAGTCATACCAGTTACACTTATAGGTCCACAAAAATCAATCGACACTTATGCCTTACTTGACGAAGCTTCGACAATTTCATTGATAGATGAACAACTTGCAACTGACCTGCAATTAGAGGGACCGATTAGCCCTTTAAAGATGCAGTGGACTAATAATGAAATATACGAACAAGCAAACTCAAAGGTAGTCAGTGTGGGGATCAAAGGCAAGGAACAGATGTCCAAGGTATTTACATTACGGAAAGTAAAAACGGTAGCATGCCTCAATTTACCACTGCAGACCCTCTCAACAGGCGATATGTCTCAGACATACAAGTTCTTGAAAGATTTTTCCTTTTGCTCATACTATAATGCACATCCAAAAATCTTGATCGGTCAAGACAATTGGTCGATCATTGTATCTCGCAAACTGAAATATCAATCATTTCAAGGACCCGTTGCTAGTAAAACTTTGCTAGGCTGGGTTGTTCACGGTACAGTAGGAATGATAAGGGAAATTGCGGACACAAATTATTCATTTCATGTACACGAATGCAAGGGGTGCGACAATCCAAATGATGACCTAGACATTTTACATAATTTGGTTAAATCCTATTGGTCTATTGAGAACGAATTACTGACACCTCACGACATTCCAACATCCCTTGACGACAAAAGATGTCTGGAAATTGTTAACAAGACCCTCAAACGTGTAGGTGACGGATTTCAATGTGGACTGTTTTGGAAAAGTGATGACGTTAAATTACCTGAAAGTTATAAAAATGCATATTCCAGATTATTGTTATGTGAAAGAAAAATAGACAAAAACCCGGAATATGGCAAGAAATATAACGAAACCTTAGACTCATATATACAGAAAGGATATTTAAAGAAAATTAATTTAGAAGAAAAAAATATTATCACACCTTTGACCTACTATTTACCACATTTTGGTGTTCTAAATAGCAATAAGCCAGACAAACTAAGAATAGTTTTTGACGCAGCCTCAAAAAGCCATGGTTATTGTCTTAATGATTTTCTTTTGCCAGGTCCAGACCTATACAGTCAACTGTCTTCAGTTCTGATGAACTTTCGTGAACATAAAATTGCCTTTGTCGGAGACATTAAAGAGATGTTTCTCCAAATTAAAGTACAGGAGACAGATCGTTGTGCACAGAGAATTTTATGGCGAGGAAGTAACCGACATTCCGAACCAGACGTGTACGAAATACAGGTACTATTTTTTGGCGCTAAATGTAGCCCAAGCATCGCCCAACAGGTCAGAAACAGAAATGCCTTTGAATTTAAAAATGACTACGGCCAAGCTTGTGATGATATAATAGCAAAGCATTACATGGACGACTATTTGGGTGGAGCCAACGATATTGGTTCAGCTGTAAAATTGATTAAGGACGTAATTTATGTACACAAGGCAGGTGGTTTCGACATGCGAAATTGGATTTCAAATTCTCCAGAAGTTTTAAATCAGATCACAGACAACATTCCATCAAATCAAATCAATAAAAAGAACTTAACAGAAGAGAGAGTTTTAGGACTGATTTGGGATCATAAAAAAGACGTATTTACATATAATTTAAAATTTTCTAAGTCTCAGTTTGAACTTCTTAATAACGTTAGGCGACCAACTAAGCGAGACATTTTAAAAATAACTATGACCATTTTCGATCCTTTAGGCTATCTTTCCAACATATTAATATCTAACAAAATTCTGTTACAAGCAATTTGGGATAGCGGAATTCATTGGGATGACTTTATTACAGATGAGCAGTTTGATATTTGGAAAATTTTAAGTAATAATCTAAACAAAATAAATGATATTTACATTCCCAGACAGATGACTACATTGCCCATAAACCTTTGCAATGTCCAACTTCATATATTTTGTGACGCTTCAAAATATGCATATGCCACGTGTGCATATTTACGCTTTGAATACAAAGACCAAGTCGAGTGCACTTTAATATCAGCCAAGTCCCGTGTAGCACCACTTAAACCAATGTCTATTCCAAGACTTGAATTGCAAGGATCCCTGCTAGGCGCTAGACTAAGTAAATCTATAAAAGAAACACTGAATGTGAAAATAGACGCAACCTTTATGTGGACAGATTCAGAAATTGTTTTATACTGGCTAAAAACTAGCAGCAAAAGATTTAAAACCTTTGTGGCTCAGCGATTGGGAGAAATACAAGAATTGACAAATTCCAGTGAGTGGCGACACGTACCCTCAAAAGTCAACCCTGCTGATAAAGCCACAAAGATTTCATCCTTTGACTCTTCAGCAAATGAATTATGGTTGGTAGGACCGCCATTTCTAAGAAAGACTCAGGACCAGTGGCCATTACCCAAAAAGACTCTCAGTTTAGATGACTCTGATGACAAGGACAAAGAATACGTAAATCTGACTACTGTACAAAAACACTTATTTATTTTACCTGACGTAATGAGGTTCTCCAATTGGATGCGATTTTTAAGAACGACAGCATGGATTTTGAGATATTTAACCAGACTTAGACCAAATAATAAAATCACATTTTGTAATGAGTTGACAGCCGCAGAAATTTCCAAAGCAGAAATAATAATTTTCCGAACCGTTCAACAAGATGCACACCATCAGGAAATTGAAAATATAAAACGAAATAAACCAGTGTCACCTTCTAGCGGTTTGAATTGTTTACCATTGTTTTTGTGTAGTGATGATTTGTTAAGACTAAGAGGAAGGCTAAATAACTTACGCGACCAAGAGATGAGTGTTGATTCAAAAAACCCTATTATTCTTTGTAAAGATCATCCTATTACGAAATTACTTGTTCATTACTATCACGTACAAAATTGCCATATAGGTACAGAAACTGTAATTGCCAATATCCGTCAAAGATTTTGGATTACAAAATGTAGAAATACGGTCAAAAATGTCATCCGAAATTGCCAGCACTGTAAAAACAGAAAAGCGAAGCCACAAGCTCCTTTGATGGGTCAACTGCCAACTTGTCGTGTAGTGCCCACGGAGAGAGCATTTTTGAAAGTAGGAATTGACTATTTTGGGCCAATTGAAATAACTCAAAACAGAAGTCATATTAAACGGTACGGAGTAATTTTCACATGCATGACAACACGAGCAGTCCATCTTGAGATTGCAGAGGATCTTTCTTGTAATGCATTCATGCATGTCTTCAGGCAATTTGGTTGTAGAAGAGGATTTCCGACAGAACTATACTCGGACAACGGAACCAATTTTAGGCGAGCAGACAAAGATATTAGAGAAATTATGGAAGAATGGTCAAATGACAAACTTACTCAGTTTTTAACAACAAAAGGTTGCAACTGGTATTTTAATCCACCCTTATCTCCTCACATGGGAGGAGCCTGGGAAAGACTCATACAGTCAGTTAAAAAATATTTGTTAGTTTTATTAAAAGAAAGATATCCTAGAGAGTATACTTTAAAAACTTTATTTTGTGAAATCGAATTTATGATGAATAGTAGACCACTTTTGTTTATTCCTTCTGACTCTCTATCTGAACCATTGACGCCAAACGATTTGTTAATTGGACCCAACTATCGAGAATCCTTTTACACCGATACCATTGACAGTGATTTAAGATTATTAAATATGTGGAAGGCATCCCAACGACTTGCTGATATATTTTGGTTAAAATGGAAAAAAGAATATAGACAATTCCTTATTTGTAGTCGTAAGTGGACAAAAGACAATAGTGCCTTAAAAGAAAATGATATAGTATTAATTATGGAACCTGATTTACCCAGAAATGTTTGGCCAAAAGGAAAGATTGTCAAAACCTATCCATCAAAGGATGGTCGAGTACGTATAGTTGATGTAAGAATTAAAGATAATATTTATAAGAGACCTACTGTAAAACTAATTAGACTAGATGTAAAACCGAAAGATTTGTAAACTCTAAGTATTGCCGTCGTTTATATGATCCACGACACCAATACTTGGGAGGAGGATGTTGACGCTAGTATTAATTTAAATATAACGAAGTTTTTAGAATAAGATATCAAAAGTGTCACCCCCCTTAATTTTTATTTTTAAAACTATCGATATAAGGTTGCCACTCTTACTGACTATATGATTATATGTATACCTATTCGAGAAGTCACATGAAGAACATCGACAAGAACAGACGCCAAAAGTTTTCTCTTTAATTTTGTTTAAATAAATTCATTTCAATCGCTAAAGAGTGTGTTAAATTACTAGACGAGTGGAGTGACATATATTGCGGTGGCTTATTGACCATAAGTCGGTCTTTCGAGCCCCATAACCCTACTTGGTGTAACCCTTAAACAGGTAACTGCCCCAACAGGCACTCGGTGGAGCCCTTGGTGGGGAGAAGGGGCGAAGGGGATGAGGTGGATGAGGTGGACAAGGGGGGAGCTCCGCAGCCACTTGTCTCGTTTAGCATTACATGCAAGCTCACATTGTGAGTTTCGCGGTTAGCTCTGCGATGCGAGCACTTTTGGTTTCGACGCCCTGGGTTTCTTCGCCGCTCGACACTGGATCGTCTGGCCTTATTTCCGAATCCGTATTCGAATCTGAATCCGAATCGAGAATGGAGAAACCCGATGCTGTCTGGGGCAGACAAGTGGAACGGTCTCCGAGTCTTGAAGTCGGACAAAAGCCCCGATTGATGGACACAATCGCAGACGGCGGGTGAAATTCCCCTGGCTCTAATTACGACCTCAAATTGTCTTGTTTCGCATCGTGTTTGATTATATTTTTTGGCCGGCCATTTGTACCCACACAATCGGCTGGCCGGAGAAGAACCCGTCATTATGGCGGCCGAATTTCTCTACTTTGCGGAGATAAAATAATAATTATATCGCTCGCCCTCGGTTTGTTCTCGGGGCCCTCGTCTTTTGGGCTCCCCAATCCGGGGTAATTTCAGCTTTAATGCCCTGCGCCTTCCTGCATTTGTTTACAGCATGATTATTGCGTTGATGAAGCTAATTATATGGTGCAAGAGGAGACGCCGCAGTGGGAAAGAAGTTGCCCCGAGGGGAGCTGAAACGAGGTTGTCAGGCGATTTGAAATACGAGGCAGACGATTGCATAACCTCGCAGCGGGAGAGCGGGAGAACCGGAGAACGGGATGCCCATCCCCGATCCGCGATCGGATCACACGTATATATCTATCCGCTGTCCAGTTGCGTTTCCATATGCACCGATCGAGACGGGCGATAGAAAACGAGCCACAACTCTATCGATGGCAATCGATGTCACATTTAATTCATTGTTATGGCCATCATAAATCTACCCCACAGGGGCGTGGGTTTCCAGGGGGATCGCGCCGCTGCTATTGCTGCTATTATGGCCGGCCTTAATAAAAATGTCAACGCAGCCATAAAGCGGGCCGGCGGCCGAGCCCCGTTGCCAGTGCAACTGCCATTGGGGCAGCTCTATTTCCCTCCTCCGGTCTCGAATTCCAGCCTGCTATCTCGGGTGGATCTCGGGTGGATCTCGCAGGCAACCCGGTCCTCCCGCCATCCGCTGTCATTAGCAGAGTTTAAGGTGCACATAAAAGCTCACGCACAGATGCGTTTCGACTCTCTGCCTGGTGAAGTGTGTGCAACCAGCTGTGGCATTGGATTTAGTGCACCGGGAAAAAGGGGAGCGTTGGTAGTTATTGGTGACTCATATCTGAATTTTACATTACACAGATGAGCAGTTTCTCCCAGTGCAGTAACCTGACCAAATCCGATTCCCCTCCCTCTTGCCCGATAAAGTCCGAATAAGTCCCTAATCTCCTCAGGAGAGTTAATTCCTCGCTGGTTTCCAGCCCCTAGAATCTCGGATAAGCTGCATGCAGATGGGCTGGCGGTGCATCCCGTGGAGGGAAAGAGGGTGAGAGGGTGGGCTGGTGGACTGGTGACCCCGGTCGAACCGCTTTTGAGTGACGTGCCACAGCGAGTGAACATGGCACTAATATGGCTGCAGGGGGCGTGGCCGATCTGATTCAGTTTCTGCGGCAGTGGCTGCCTCTTCTGATCCGCTGATGCTCTTGAGTTTCGTGTCGGCATCGTTAGCTCACATCATTTGTTTGACATGTTGCTTTGTGTGTTGACAAACGTCTTGACAGGCGACAGGCAGCCACAGAACAACAAACAACGGCCAGCGAGCAACAAACAAGCAACAAGCAACAAAGGCAGCCAGCTGAATACCAAACAAAGGGGCGGATAAAGAAGAATTACAGTCACCCAATACTCACGCCTAGTTGAGCAATTCATATGGATTCATCGCCAGCGTGGACTTACCTGCAATGAGAGAAAAAAAGAGGTTAGGAGATGTAAATACATTTTGATATGTTCCTATGTTCATATATTTAATGGATTTCAAACCGTAGAATGTTTCTGAACTGCATGGATTGAAAGAGAAGACACAACCCGAAGTGGTTTTATGGTGACACTTACACCCCACTCGATACCGATCCGAAGAGGCACTTTTATCACATAAACACCATAAACCCCGATGCTCTGCGTCTCCCCAAGAACGCTTCTCTGATCCCCGGCAGCATTTGGCACTCGTTCCGCCGGGTCCTTGTGCTCACGCTTTTCTCCGGCAACAATGTTGCCAAGGCGTGCGCGCAACAAATCAAATGCTGACCATGCATTGCCTTCCACAACAACAACTCCGCACCAGGCAGCCAACAATGTACAACATTTATGAGCAGCGCCAGCTGGACTCAGTCCCAGTCCCAGTCCGGACCCCCTTCCCCGTTTCTGGACCCACCTGGGCAGGTATTTCCCTCGGCTGACAACGGTGAGCAACTCATGCGAGCAACTCGAGCAGCGGGAAAGGGGCGAGGACGGGGAAGTGGCAAGCAAATGCGAGAAATGCAACAAAATTAACATCATCAGACAGAAATAATCTATAATGAACATAAATCTCCTTTCAGCAGAAAGAGGCGACATCGGGAGGGCAAAAGCATGCTGACTTCTTTGAGGAAGTACAAATTTACGCTTGGTGTTGAAATGAAATGCTAGAACCCAGAACTCCGGGGCACTGAGAGAAATGTTGGCAGTGAATGGAGATAGATCACACGGAATGTGAGACCTCAGCTCGTAGATCCTACTGAAACAAGTGATGCGACGTCCAATGAAGCCACATCCCAAATTGGGTTCCTCGAACTCTTGTGGATTTGGAGATCCAGCTCGACTTCTCGCACTGCACTCTCGGTTGAATCAGCATCCCCAACTTGCTGCCCCACTCATCCACTCATCCCCTCACCCGATCCTTCCCACTGTGCACGTGTGTGCCGCTCTTCTTGGCCATCTTGCGCTGCTCTTGGCCAAGAACACTCCGGCATCTTCAGCTGCGTCGTGTTGTTGTTCGCGCTTGTTCGTTGTCGAGGCAGCCGCCGCCGAAGAAGAAGAAATATTTTAGAAATTTATGCGTTTCTGATAAATAGAGGAAATGTCTGCGGCGCGGCAAGAAGACGATGGCAGCCACAGCTACACAACTCCAGAGCTCCACAGCCAAGAGCTACACAGGTACAGCAGCAAAGAAGCGCGGACAGAAGGACGGAGCAAATTATTAGAAATATGCGAGTTTAATAACCAACTCGGGCGATCTCCGCTGCCCGCTCGCTGCTCAAAATTTATTAAGTTGTCAACTGGCAAAAATGTTGTCAATTTCTGCTCGTCGCTGCTATTCAGAGAAAGAGTTAAGTCCGACTCGCAACGAAGCGCCGCTGGTGGCCCGATTGCGATTACTCCACCCATTTTCCAGTCATCTTTCTCCACACACATTTTCCCCGTCCACTTGGCATTAGGTATTCCTCTCACTCGCCCAGTAAGTTGCGTTTAATGAACTTAAGCCACTGTCAACAACTGTGATTTGCTGCTCCCTGGCTGATTCCCTCCGGTGGGGATTAGGCCCCTCTTAATTTGCATACTTAATTTGCTTCATTTCTGCGTTTCGCCAAAAAGAGCTGCGACTTGAAACGATGTTTCCGTTTTCCATTTTTGTGAGGCTCTATATTATACGTTCCTATAACTACCTCCAGAATGGCGATTTAAGGGTAAGCAAACGCGGCTAGATCCACCCACTAGAAACCAGCCGCAGATCCAATAGTTGCGCTCTTTAGGAAGCTCAATTTCAGGCTCTTTAGTAAGACGATGGCTTCGCAAACAAAACGCGATGGAAGACGACTTTCCTGAGCAAAGAACTTGCAAAGAGCCTCAGTGTTTGCGAACCTCTTGATTTACACTGGCGAAAACCTCGACTTTTGTCGTTCCTCCTTATTAAACTTAAGTGAAAATTGTGCGTAATTAAATGGCTTTTAAAAGGGTCGCAATGCAATGGCATTCTTCATCCGAATGTTTAACCTTCGGCACAATGGTTTTTTCAGCTAAACCGCAAAGGGAAACAGATACAACAAGCTGGAAACAAAAAGAGCGAATTGAAAACCGACAAGACTCGGCTCCGAATGCTCCAGAGAGTTCCCACTTTCGGTTTCAGGCCTCGTTGCAGCCACCTAAAAATAGCCAGAAAGCCAAGTGAGCCACTTAGGATCGGCGGCTCTGCGGTTCTGCGGTTGTGCCACCAGGAGCTCCTCCGCGACTCCGCGCCTCCTCTGATTCCCATTCCCATTCCGATTCCAATTCTGATTCCCCGACCGGAGCTCATCCCCAGCGACGTCGATTGTGTTTCGCTTTTTCTGAGCGAGCGGCTTTCTGCCCGAACCTTTTTAATTGTCGACAATGTTTGTGGCAAGTTTTTAATGAAATTCGCTGCCCGGCCGTTGCTGATTTTTTATGTCTGCGGCTTGGTTTTGTGACATTGCAGCGTGTCCTCCAAATAATTCATTAACACTCTGTCTTGTTAAATTTAAATTGGGATCGGCTGCCCCACAGCCCCCGCACCCCTCTTCCTTTTGATTTTGGCTCGTATTTGTTCCTTTGGAAGTGAAACGAAAGTAAGGACTTTGTTGGGAGCTCTTTAACGAAGAAAATCTCTTAATCCGCCAGTCCCAAGTATATAGAATTTCAAACATGCCAACAACGATACACTTTCCTGTCCATCAACCTGCGACCCTCTCTTCCGCCCCGGCTTTCTCCTCTGTTCGCCTGGTCCCCGTTCTTCCGAAGAAAGAACAGAACAGAAAGAGCGGCGGGGGAAGACGGGGGTCAGAAGACAGGAGACAGAAGAGAGAACCCGCCAGAGGTAACTTGATACTTTCGTTCCCTTTTTGCTGTTTAATGAGACGAATGCACAGAAATTTATGATCCGGTAAGCAGGCGCAGTTTTGTTCAGCATTCAAATCTGGCATCCGCATAGGCGGCCCCTCCCCCCAAAAGGTACAGTTAGAGCGGCCCACCTGATTGATTGATGGCAATTGACGGCGCTGTCCGCCGCGGAGTGATCACAATTCGACTAACGAGAGGCCCACTGGGGGCAAACGTCATAAATCCACTAATAAACGGCGACCACAGCTCGCCGTGTGGCAGCAACCACAGCAAATAAATTTGTCCGAAGAAATGAAGAAATGAAGCCACAAAAAGGAATTGCAGCCGTAAAGGTAAAGTCGAAATGCGGGGACGAGAGCCCCCAATATGCATAAATAAGAGTTTAAGTAAGAGAACTCGGGACGATTCGACACCCCAAACTTGTGGCAAACACTGAGCACAACAGTTACTTTTCCATCTCAGCCGCAGCGTCGATCGAAACAGAGAGAAAAATAATGTTGAAATATTATATACTTCTTAAATACAAAGACTTTATTGATGTACCGCAAATGGAAATCAGAAAAACACTTTTTCAAACTAAGAGCAGTTTTCCCAGTGCATAATTGCTCGTTCAATTTGCCAAGTCGAAAAGAAGTTAACGCTCGACACGAGACTTTTGCAACTTCATGCCACATAAACCATAAGGAAAGCAGGCTCTGAGATTCCGGGCTGCAACTTTTTCCGCGACTCTGGCGAATTCTCCCTGGCCAAATTAAAATGTTCTTTCAACTACGAACTTTCGACGATAAATTGAATTGAACAACAAAAGGCGAAGGCTGGCCGAGAGGGGGCTATCCGCCTGCGGGGATCCGAGAGTTCGATGCGAATCCCTGGTTCCCTGGATCTCTGGATCGCTGGATCGCTGGATCGCTGGATCGCTGGATCGCTGGATCTCTGGATCTTTGGACCTGGTCAAAGACATTTGTCATGTCATTTGTGGCGGGGCAGGAAGTGGCATATGGAGGAAACCGAGAACCGAAGAGGAGGAGGATCCCTGCCAGAAAGGATGAGTTTATCGATTCGCCGCGCAGGAAGGGAATCTCTTGAGGAGTTTGAGGAGTTCCAGGGTGTCACAAATTCGCACTGGAGAAAGGTGGGGGGCTGGGAGATCGGGGTCGCCATCCCCAAACGCGTTATCGCTTCACAAATTAACAATCAGCGGCAATAAAAGTTCTGCGTTTGTTTATGGCGAGCCCGAAATGCGCGGGGCTGGGCTCAGAAATCCAGATGAAGAGGCGTCCGATCCTCCAGCCCGAGTTATCCTTATCAGGGGCCATTCGCTGCCCTTAACAAATTCAATTAAGCATTTTAATATCCGAGGCCACGGAGGTGTTGCACTCCGGACACTGAAATATTAACTTGATTTAATTTATGATTTGCCCGCCAGTGGCAGGAAGTCGATGCGGTAAATTATGGCACTTCGGGGCAAGCCGAGAAACCCAGAAACGAAGTGGGTCAAAGTTGGAGAAGCCAAGAGCTGCGGGTCTCGATTCCCCAGTGGGTTGCAAAAGGGTCCGCTATGATTGCAGAGAAAGAAAATGCTGGCGCTTTAGACACTTTAAGAAACCTTGAAGAACCTGTGACTAACTAAAGGGTTAGGTCTTCTTAAGTGACATACTATATATTAAAATCAAACGAAATAACACAAAGTAGATTATCTATTTGAAGAGTGATTGCTCTGACATTTTTCCTGAGTGTAAGGATGTCAATTACCTCCCTGCCTTAGGGGAAGTTCTGCTGGTCGCCGACTTTCCTCGAGGGCACTTACGGCGGAGAAGAAGGTGGGGCTGGGAGGAGATTTGGCCCGAGTCCCGTGCCCATTTTTTCAGCAATTTGCCTTTTGCTCCCTTGCAAATTGCAACTGCAATTACATGAATTTCGGGGCTCTACAGTTATTCCCGGCTCGGTTTTGCCTTTTTTACCTTTCGACACGTTCTGTCCGCTTTCAATCAGTAATTTCTGGACCATTGCCTCTTGGTTATGGCTCTTAATCAATAACTGTGTGGATCTGCCCCGCTGCCCCTTCTGCTTGTTCCCTGGGCCCTCGCGTTGTCGCGACAGCCCATCAATATGCAACAATGTTGCAGAGTTGCCGGTTTTATTGAGGCGGCGGCACCCTGAGAAATGAGCTCATGCGATGATATCTCCCAGCTGACAATGATTTCTGGCGCT